TCATTACGTAACAAAAAAAATATCAGGTTTAAGTTATATAAGTAATGTTACGCTTTGCAAATTTGTTCACAACGACGAGTCTTATCTTATCATTAATGATTAGTTATAATCATTTGGTCAGAGATTATCTTTCTTTTTTCTTTTTTCCTTTTTTGCTTTTGAGGTTCGAAAAATATAATTAATGATTTCTAGTTTCAACCTAATAATCGAATGGCATGCTCCCTCTCCCAAATTATGAATGGCATCGTATACTATACAAAAACTTTTACTTAATATCTACTCGGGCAAATAGGCGTATTCAGGTTGAGGGATATGGGTTCATGTGAATTCATGCTTCTCTCCCTATATATTCACGTAAATTATGTATGACAATGTTATATTTTTTCAAAATTACTTAAATATATGTGCGTGAACTCATGCTCAAAGATTCCTATGGTGCAATTATTATCTGGTGCACCTCTACAAGTAAAATTGGCGGTTCAAATCTACTCTGAACGGTCTTGATTTCGGAAGGGAGTATAGATATATATGTGAAAATTACAAAAAATTCAAAAAGAATATCATTTTGAACCTATAATTTTAAAAGTGTAGTGAGTTCATGGTAAAAGACTAAAGTTAAACCCGTCAAATTAAATTCTAAATTAGAGTGTTACGTTCTTGAGTGATAATAAACAAACGGAATTTTTACACAAATAGTTGGCCGAATTCATTATTTACTTTTTCTTACTGATATATATAGGTTATAAACTAATTATATATTATTATACATATATTATATATTTACCAGTTATTTTTAGTTTAAACGGTTGAGTGAACTGCTTTTTAGTATAATTCTTCTAAACAAAATTGAGCAAAGATCGCTTTTAGGGTGCGACCGAAACTACTTAAATCCGGTAACCACAAAAGTATATAAAACCTGTATATATTTCTCTGGAACATTCCTCTCAAAATATCTCTTTCCTTTTTTTTTTTTTGTGGAGTCTCGCTTTTGTTGCTTAGTGATGATCTTTATCCCCTTTTGAGACTCCAGTTGTTGTACATTACTTGTATCAATTGTGAGTTTAAAATACTCTTCCATTTCAGTGCACCATATAATCTTGGGAAAAGGTCTAAAATTGCCCCTCTACTATGGTATATAGTTTAAGTTTATCCCCGTTATACTTTTTGTTCATATCTACCCCTACCGTTAACAAACTTTCTAGAATTGCCCTTAACCCTAACAGATCTCCATCGTGGCACCCAATCCCTCTATTAATTTGTCCACATCAGCTGTCATATCAGCAGGTCCCACGTTAAAATTGACCTCATCATCACACACCAGACTCCATGACCTTCATCTTCCTCTTTCAATCATAAACAAATTCACATCAAAATCACCGGATAACATGGCAGCTCACCGAAAAATTCCTCCGGTAGTACTAACCTCCACTGTACTGGCCCCCCTCTTCGTTTCCCTTTTTCTCTTCTTCTTTTTCTTCCTGTTTCATCATCCAAACAACAACCCCGTTCCACCAAATAAGCAAACGAAACTGGTGAAACTCGCTAAAAAATTCACAAGGCCAACACCACTAACTTACTCCCTTCCTTCATTTTCTTCTACTTATTTTCTTTTTCTTTATTCCAATTTATTGGAACTAAAAAATCAGAGGTTTCGCCATTTTTTGAACTTCGCCGGAAAATAGAACCTCGCCAGATCCCACTGAAATTCTCGGATTTGGATTTGCTTGTTAGTTTTTATTTCTCCTTGTTAATAAAAAATCGGTGAAACTTAATTAAAAATTTGCTCGTGTTATCACTGTGCAAAAAAAAAAAAATGCTTCACTTTAGCTAATAAGAAAGCACGTGATGAACATGACTTTTCTATTAATTTGTCCTCTCAAGTTAATCCCATCTTCGTTGATTTGTTCCAACTTTGAATTACAAAGATGACGTCAAATAATAGTTAACAGAAATTACACAAAAAATTATTTTAATAATTGTTAGATACAATGCAGGAAACCTGCTCTAAACATCCGGTGACCACCGGTGAATGCCGCCGCTTACCAACAAGAAAACCCCAACCCACTTCCCCTGTTTCATCTATAAGATTTTACTTAAATACCAAATTGGTATCTTTCTGTTATGATAGAACTTTGTTGCATTTCCTTAGAAGTGTGCTTTGTTATGAGTTTACTGTCGATTTATGTAGATTAAGATGAAATGGGTTGACGATGGAAAGGGAGAGAAAGTGAGGGGTTCACATAAATGAAGGTGGTAAAGGAAGAGAGATAAATGGGTACATGTGATTAGAGATGAGTAGCGTGAAGTGGCAGGAGGGGAGGGGATCGAGTGACTTCGCAGCTGACATGGAAAAAATTGAGAGATTGGGTGCCAAGGTGTAGATCCGTTAGGGTTAAGAGCAATTCTAGAAAGTTTGTTAACGGTAGGGGTGGATATGAACGAAAAGTATAATAGAGGACAAACTTAAACTATTCGTTCTTATCTTGAAGGCCAGCTTCGTTGTCGATAGGTAGGGCCATTAATTGAGGGTTCGTCGTTTTTAACCTGAAATCAATAGCATAGTAGATGGATAATTTTGGACCTTTTTCCTATAATCTTTATGAATATCTACGTGAGAATAATCATGATGATTCAATCAAGATCCGCATGATTTACTTTTCCATGATTGTAGTAATTAATCATCCTTTGATTAATTTCAATAACTCAATTCCTTGGCCTCATGTTTTTATATGTCTAACTTCTCTTTCGAGAATATGGATGCTTCTTTCCATTTTGTAGTAATATTTGAATTTTCATAAAAATATTACTCTTTCTTGAGATAGAATTCAAACACGTTCTCATGAATAAATCGTATCCTTAAATTTAAGTAGTACTTCCCAAAATACAGGTTGAAGTAAGAGTATTCTTACTTCCATCGCATCCCGTAGTACGTATTTTCTTGCCCAAATCTTCTTGAACCTAGACCACTTATTTGTGTCTTCCAAAGTATTCCGGTGAGCTTGATGTATAATCTCTTTCCTTTAGTGAGTAAGTACACATGTATTTTCCAAATCTATTCCTTGACCTGTGTAAAATATTTGCTCCTTAAAATGAACCATGCTATCTTCTTCCAATAAAATATTTTCTTTTTGATAGATCTCAGTATATCTTTGACTTCTTTCTTGATCTTGAAAATAATCTCTTTCCATAATATAGATTATACTATACGCATAATTTATTTTCTTTCCATAAAGAATATATTCTTCCTTGGCCTTGTAGTATCTCTTCCATATAGTATCTTCCTTCCACAAAATAATAATCTTCTCCATGATTTTAGCAACTTTCCTTTCAAGATATTGAAAAACTTTCCTTCCATATTGTAGTAAGCCATTCAATATTTGAAATTTGACTTTCAAATATTATTCCTTCTATGACGCTTGGAGATTAAATCTCTAAAAATAATCTTCCTTGATAAATTCATCACATTATATTCTCTTTCCCATATTTGTTTGGATCTTTACCAGTATTTTTTTCCTGTGCAAAAATAAGATTACCACAAGTAAATGTTTTTTGATTAATACTCCATCCGTTTCAATTTATGTGAACCTATTTTCTTTTTAGTCCGTGCAAAAAAGAATGACATATTTCCTTAATTGGAAATAATTTACCTTTCTGCAATGATTTATAGCCACACAAATATATGTGCCTCATTTTAGACAACAAGTTCAAAAGTCTTCTCTCTTTTATTAAATTCTGTGCCCAGTCAAATGGGTTCATATAAATTGAAACTAAGGAAGTAATAATTATATTGGTTTGTTATCTTCAAAATTAATATGTGAAATTTTGAAGCTAATACTGTGTTGACTATGGACTCTGTAGAATATGGAAAATCTGTCATCCCTATATATAATTTCAAATAGATGACTTTGGATTCCTAGTCTCTAGACTCTTCAGTTTTCTATTTTCAATCGACAGCAATGATGGAGTCATGGTCCATGTACCATTATCCCACTATTCATGTTTTTGAATCTAAGTTTACTTCAATTTTGAAACAAAAAAATTGCAAGTGAAGATTGGGATTTAGTTATTGCCCTTATTCTCTTTCTTTCTTTTTATTCTCCCCCATAATTATTACAAAAAGAAAAAGAACTACAGGTTATAAATAAGGTCACTCTAATGTTCTAAATTTTACACCTACACCAGACCCTGTCATTGACCTAATAGAAAGGGAAAAGAAAATAAAAGAAGAATTTTTTTTGTGTTACGATCCAATTTCATGGCACGTATTGTCCCCTTTGGATCTTAGCTCATGCGAATTTGTCTTTTTAGGCTATGCCTCCTAAAAGTACGCGTACCATGTAAACTTAACTCATGACTTATATAGCTATACACTTTTCTAAGGTTGTACTATTTGAGTAATTTTGTCATTATTTAAACCTTTTTGGTCAAATATTATTCCTCCCGTTTCAAAAAAAGTTTTTTATTTTTGTCAAAACTATGAAACTTCAACATGAGGATAATTTTAAATTATAGTTAAAAGTTAAAGGATAATATAGACCTTTTTCTCTAAGAATAAATATAGACAATTGAGTATAAATGAACCAAATCGTGTACGGCTAGTGGCAAATTGTTGTCATTGAAAAAACTTCAAAACCAAAGAGGAGGGCAGCTCAGTGCACAAAATATTTCGTATTCACGCAGAGTTCGAGGAAGAATCGTATTTTAAGAGGTGTGATGTAGACAACTAATCATAATATAATAATTAATGACCGCTAACACCACTCGAATATATAACCTATAAATAACACGGAACTGTCCATCATCTGTAGGTCACACCAAAGATGAGAAAAGGCAAAAAAGAAGAATGGTGGTTATAAGTAATGATGCCTATAATCATAACAATGAGACATATTGCATCAGTGGTCCTGCCTTTGTGATCTTATATACTACACGAATAATCCAAAAAACCAAACAAATCTACTGAACAAGAAAGTTCAACTTCCAGTAAAACTACTTTAATATCCACAACTAACTTTCCACTATCTCTGCACCAACAAAATACATAAAAAAATTACAATAAAAAATCAACTAAAAAGGGTTTTTTTTCACCCTCATTATGACTCTAAATGAATAGGTAAAACTGCATTTTTAGATCCTTTTCCATGTCCAAATGAAAAAAATGACCTTTTAACTTTGCTACTGCTTCCTTCTGAGGAACTAACATCAATTACTTGCCTTTGCTGTTGTATAATCTCTTGAACTGCTATGTAAAGTTGTCGATCCGTTGCTGAATCCATTGAAAATGATCTCCTTATAGGCTGAATTGCAAATTCATCATCTTTCTTTCTAATGTTAATGCATTCATCTCCCATGCTTGTAATATGGCTGAACTTTTTACCTTTTCTTGTTGAAACTTTTATTGGTTCTGTTTTTCTTTGAGATGGACTAATCGAAAAATGCCCTGTAAATTCCCCTGAATTCAATCTTTCTTGATTTCTAACTAATGATGGATTTGTAGAAATTGGATTAGTGTTTGATATTTCTATAACAACATAATCTTCATGTCTGAAATTTTCAAGATTTGGATCTTGAGGAGTGGAACTTGGAGCAATAATTGGATCCAAAGGGAACAAATTTGTAGTAGTTGATGAGATGCTATTTCTGCAAAGTGGGCAATTTGCATTGTTTTGAAGCCACACATCAATACAATCAATGTGGAAAATATGTGCACAATTTGGTATAATCCTTAGCTTCTCATTTTCTTGAAACTCATTTAAACAAACAGCACATTCACAAGTAGTTGTAGTACTCTCCCCTAATGCACCATCTTTTTCTTCCCTTTTCTTGTACTTAAAAAGGGGGATTGATCGAATCACAGATTCGTCTAGTCCCCGATTTTCCACCCCTGGTGAGTAAACCATTAAAGGGTCTTCAACACGTCGATTTCTAGAGAACGAAAATCGCCTCAGAAGATCAATCCTATGCCAATTCAAGCAGCATTTGATCACAAAAATGTAGTAGCTAACTAGTAAAATACCAGTAGCCAAGATACCAATAACAGCAACTGCTATAATAGGAAAGCCAGTATGATGTGAAGAAGAATGTAAAGGTGAACCAAAGATTGAAGCAGAAGTTGGAGGACTTTTCATGTGTGAATTAGATTCAATGTATTTTAGTCTCAACAGATCCATAAGATAGTTTTTTCTGTTAAGACAAACGAGGGACAAGTGGTTATGTTTGGATCTTGAATGCACATGAACATGTTATGGAAGGTAAAGAGAAAAATGTTAAAAAAATTTGAAGGAACATAAGTTGAAGTTCCTATGAGAAAAGGGTAAAAGTATGAGAAAAAAGAGCACATCAAATGAAAGAGTGAACATATTTATAAGAAAGAGTTTGGGGTTGTATCTCAAGGTTTAAATAATTCTTTTTATTTTTTTGTTAAAGAAAAAGAGGAGAAAAAGTATGACTTTTGAGGTACGTAGTTGGTGAATGCTGTCTCTTTGCCTTCAATAAGAAAACTACAGTTGGCAAAAAAATATTTTAAAGCCTTTTATTCTTCTGAAGAGATCCTAAATAACTGTAAAATTATTTTCGTATGACCTAAAGATTATCAGTTCAAATCGTGAAAGCAGACAGTAAGTGTTTTAGTAGATTGTATACATCACATCCCTTGGCATATGATCCTTCGGACCCTGCAGCTGCTTGCCGTGTACATCATAAATCTTCTAAACTTTTGGTATAGGTTCAAAACTATTGAATGCAATTTATTTTCATATATTTTTTTATTGGTTATGATTTGTGGTGTAAACTTAACAGTGTGGAATGGGTTATTTTCTTATGTGGAGGGGGGGGNTAAGGTGGCAACCGACCACCGTCCAAGACTCTATGACTGGTGTGATGTGATTTTTATATTGGTTTTAAACACTTGATCTGGTGGTCCATACTAATTCAGTAGTTGCATACCTACAGTTCAAGGAACTATGATTAATTGGCTAGTATTTTATTTGTTAAATGACTAAGTTATGCACGTTGATCGACAGTGTAATATTTTTTTTACGTTATCAATGTATTATCATTCTAACTAGATTAGAAATTGATGCATATTATAAAAATTTACAATGTCAGTGCATTAAATTCCAATTAGCTACCTTTTATTTCTCTTCACAATATAGCGGGAAAAACTGAGAAAAAAAAAGTAGTACAGTAGAAAGGAGATATGCAGAGTATTTCACATTTATGAATCTTTAGGTAGCCAAGGCATTAGGTAACCTTTTCCCACATTTTTTCACATTTATGAATCTTTGAGTAGACTTTCAGAAAGAATAGCAATGACTCGAACCAGTTAGAAGACTAAAAAAGTTTGCTATTCGTTTTAATAGTTGATGTTGACATAAAAAATATATACTTCTTGAATTCCGATACTAGGTTATTGATTGAAGAATGACTTAGATATTAATTAGGTTTGCAGCCATTAAGAATAGAAAGTTTGTAGCTTCTGTATTTAAAGAATAAGATTACTTTTTTTTTTTGCTATACTAATTTATAGATAAATTGATGTTTAAAATTGTTTGGTAACCTAAAAGAACTTAAGTGTTTACAAGTTATCATCAAAACAGCTCAATAGATTCACAACAAACACTTTACTATTTTCTATGATGACAAACAAATTAGGTAGAATGTTATAGAAATCAACTAAAGATGAAATGCCCAAGTAAGTGTTGAGGTTTTATTTTTAAGATGTAATATTCTTAAAATGAGGATGAATGGGAAATGGAGAGAAAATGAAATTTTGAGTAAAATTTTAAGTTTCCCCCTCTTAACAA